ATAAGGCATAACTTAGTTGTTAATTAAATTTCTTTAAATAAAATATTTCAATCGTTAGATATATTTTATAAATTCAAATATTTTTAAATTTGAAATTCCAGTTGATTATAACAAAATTTTAGTTTTAATGAAGAAATTGAACACTACACAAAAATAAACAGACTGATGTATGACATAGACCTTTATAATGACGTCAGATAAAAAAACGAAATAAATACGCAACTACTACATTTTATCAGACAGAAATTCATACAGTAGGTCAACGTCAGTTTGGCGCATGACATACTTACATTTCTTCATTTATATCACACAGTGAATTCTAACACCACAATGCCGAGTCAACGATTTAAAAGAAAAGCACATTGTGAGTAAGAGCAAATAAGGCCTTTGGACCGACGGCTGGTTTCTGACGAAAAAAAAAATTAAATTTATTCGTTTGTAGAAAAAATCTACGAGTTCCCCCCTTCACTTAAGAGTATGGACGTAACAACATTTTATCTTGAACCTAATGTACTTCAACCTTTTACACTTAGTACTGGAGATTTACTTTCCACAGCGTGTTTTACGTATGACAGTGTTTTTTCAGTCGTTCGCAGACTACAATTGCGATTTAAAGGGTAAATTTAAACATGTTTGATTTTTTTTTTCTTTTTTACAGTTTAGACACCCATACTTTCCGACATACTGTTGGGTATTTAAAAATAAAGCTTTTATAAGGAGATTACCAGTGCCACTAATCAACATTTCTTCAACTCTTGCAACAATAATTTCATTTGGAGTTAGATAGTCAACACCACGTAATAATTTTCTTAAGTAATCTTCAAAAATCAATACGAAGACATCAACGATAGGCTTGTTCTGAGCAATCTACAGACCTCCTAAAATTATTTTTTTTCCATCCGCAAATTAGGAGGTAGTTTATTGATCATGAAATACGAAGGCCAGACACTGATACTAAATGATTTAAATAAAACTATCGCTTTAGAGTACCAAGAAAAAGTGACGTTATTTTAATTTTGTACCAAATTTACAGGTTAACATTTGTATAATAGTCCATCATAAACATCTTCGTAATTATTTTCATATTTTTTAACTCAAGCAAAATGGTATACTAATTTTTTTCTAAAATTATTCCTTTTTAACATTAACGTTTATTAAGACAATATAGGGATTTTAATAATATTATCAAACGTATTTTTGTTACATTTTGTGCAATGCGTACTTTTACTAACCTTAGAATAATATCTTAAGCAATAATAATGTTAATTAAGACGTATTTCGTAGTCTGCGGAAAACTATTTAAATTTATACAATGATTTTGCACACTTATTTGGCTTAATGAAATGTAATTCTGTAAGAAAAAAAACTTTTTTTTGAAGTAAGCCTATAATTTGGAATCTAGAAATTAGTACAAAAATAGCTAAAATACTTTCTGCAACAGTAAGCGAAGCTTGCGAGTATAAAGTTACATCAGCATCTGCCAAGATGTCATATTTATCTAACTCATTTTTGCTTTGAAAGGAAGTTTTACTCGTCGATTCTTCACCTTCTGAACAACTTTTTTCAGCCTCATCTTTAGAGGAGCTTTTATTTTTATTATTCTTATGGTCAAATTACGTTAATCAATCGTACGCTTATAATGACAGAAAAAATAAGTTATCAAGGATATGTACATATCGTCGTGTAATCGCAAGAAACAGCTTTTTCCGAGGCAATGGCAAGAAATAGTAGTTTTCCTACGAGTTTGAAAAGTCTCTGTTTGCGAACCGAGAGGTTTGCGGCCCTAGCCGAAGGCGAGGGTCTTTACGAGGTTCGTAAAGGAGACTTTTCGAACGAGTTCTGGAAAACTGCTTTTTCGCCCGAGGAAGTACCAGCCTCCTAAAATCACCCGAGTGCGGAAAAAACTTTTTCAAACTTATTGGCAAGAAAGAGCCGTCCAAATTTTTGAGCAAGCGAGAGCTTTTTTAAACTTAATGGCAAGAAAGAGCCTTTTTATAAAAAAGTTTTTTTAACTTGGTTTTAAGTTGGTAATACATTTAGTATAGATATACAAGCTGCTTTTAAAGTATTATATATATTATTGACTCGATATGCTTTTCGATTGATAAACTTATAGGTGAGATATGTAGGTTATTTAAAAATAAAACACCTCTAAACTCATAAAGCAACACTCTTTTTTGGTAGATTGAAGAATTATTAATAAAAAAAGAATTATTTGCTCTGAATTAGAATAATTACTATCATTGTTCTTGAAATATAATAAAAATAATTCTAAGCATTCCTTTAATAGTAACTACGGTAAGTAACTATATACATTATCAGATTTTTTTTTTATTAAAATTTTTTTTAACAACAATTCGTATCACAGATAAAACTATACAGCCAAGCAGCAGTAGCCTATATAATATATTTGTCCTTGAAAGATACTATTAATTCGTTAGGTATAATACCAAAGAATTTGTTCGTTAAATATTTAAAATGTTATCATAAAAATCAAGGTAGTTATTTTGGATTAACCCTTTCTTTATGAGATTATTAGGATCTTTTTTTTTGTTTTTGTCTAAGGGTAATTTTTTTCCGTAACATGTAGATAAAATACCACTACTTGAATCTATGTTTGCTTCCATGTTGTTTTCTTCTTGATAGCTATAAATATAGTGAATAGTTTTGTTAAGATGAAATTGAATTTAACTTACACTAGATGTTTTTATTTTCCTTCAAAAACTTCTTTTCGACAACTTTTCTAAGTCAAGAATATCGCTTGCATTTATTTGGTTGACTTTACATTTTGGTGTTGGGCGTTAAGCTTCCATCATTATTTGATAACATTGATCTAGCGAAATAATAGATTGATGTCTAGCAGCTATTTCTATAGTAGAGTGCATGGAGTCACCTTCTGTTTGGGTCTGACCCTAGACTAAGTAATTGGAATACAATACATCATTAAGATTAAGTCATTATTTTTAGATTAAACTAAATAGGTCAACAAGAAATATTTTTTGAGTCAGCAGATTAAATTTAATTCCGATATATTGGTTATAAATAATAATAAAAAGGTAACTTTAAAAAAAAATACTAAATACATTCTGTGATAAACCTAGTATATTATATCCCACCGATGTTGAATTTTCACTTGAAAGTCGACTGCTGCTTTGGGATACACACTAAAAATGATGTTATTTTTATTTTGGACTGCACAGTTGTCAGAATAAAAATGAAAACGGTGCACTTCAGATTCTACTTGAGCTTTTATAAATTGCCAAATTATACTACTGATTACATTTGTGCCGCGTTTACCATCAGTTTCGTTCCACACATGGCAAGAACCATGATTTTTAACCATGTCAAACATTGTTAGATTGTATATAGCTATTTTTCTACTATAATACATTACAGATATCTCCGAATGAGGATATCTCCACATATTAGAATATTCTTCATTGTAAGGGTATATCTCAGAACCCGATGTACATTCATCTGTACTGACCCTTGACAGATTTGAAGGAAGTAGAAATCTATATTACAGTAAAACAAAAAGGTTTTTTTTTCAATAAGTATACAACTTGATTCCGATATTAAAGAAAAAAATATTAATAAGAAACGACTAGTTGATAAATTAATGATATTTAACAGATTACTAACACTTTATCGTATTTTGTCACTGAAAATATGTACACAAATATATTACATTTAACATGTTCAAACCAATCTGAAGCTATTAATGGCGTAACAAATTACTTATAGTCGGTCAAACTACTAGAGGTTTAATTTGACTTGCTTTGATGTAACTCGCCTAATTTAATAGTTCGATTTTCTAGATTTATAATAGAAGTAACTTTCACTTTTATATTTATTGTGTATAGATACTTACTTAGACTTCAGAGTTTGTACTTCTAATCTTATCTCTTCATTTCTTCGTTATTATACTGTAGCTGTTCGTGCTTAAACAAATGTATATGCTAGTAAATAGATTTTGTACATACTTTTGATAACGATTACCTTTATACATTTTCTTTTCATTTACCAAGAAGTGCGTTGCTTCGTGAGTTTCAAGGTGTTTTTTAAATAATTACCAATATAATTAATTTACCCAATATTGAAGACGCACAATGAGTCTTCGATTTATTGGTCCGAGGCTCTTTGGTAATTAATTATAAGTTCATTAATCGAGAAGCACATCGAGTCAATAATATACATAATACGTTTAAAGCGATTTGTATATCTACACTAAATGAATTACCAACTTAAAATCAAGTTGAAGAAGCTTTTTTTTGAAAAGGCTCTTTCTTGCCATTACGTTTGAAAAGGCTCTCATGCTCTCGCTTGCTCAAAAATTTAAGAAGGCTCTTTCTTGCCATTGCGTTTGAGAAGGCTTTCGCTTGCTGAAAAATTCGAAAAGGCTTTTTCGCGACAAAAAGTTTAAAAAGGCTCTCTCTTGCCATTGCCTTGGAAAAGGCTCTTTCTGGCTCTGACCCTACAATATGTACATGATACGAACGCGTACACGTTAGTGTGCATCTGCGTTTTTAGGTGTGAATATGCATGTTGTGACGTTCCCTTTTGCGTCACGATGTTCTTTAAGAACGAATAAAACAAATAATGTGGGACTTTGCCTGGAAGGGAGAGTCGTGATGACGAAGGAGAAAAATGTCTCTACATGCGCGTGATGAAGCGATGTGTGTCGTAATTTTGAATCGTCTACGAGCTAAAAAAAAAAAACACTAGCACACACTGTGCGGATATCCTTCTCCTCGGCCGAATGGAACACTGAATGATTTGGGAGGATAAAGGATGAGGAACGGGCACTCGTCACTGTGGCTAAGCCATAGATCGAGGAGGCCCGGAACGATATGNATCCCTTAACGACTGTACGTCATAATACGAGTCGTCAACATCTTTATATAGCCTATCGATATCTTCATGTAATTTATCAACAGACTTTTTTAAGTCGGAGTAATTTTTTTCAATCCCCTCGATCCGTAGCAAATTTTCTGTCGCACCGTTTTCGACGCTTTCCTTCAGTTCGTGAGTTTCATTCGTTGCTTTGATTATATCACGGGTAAACTCGGCTCTCAACGCACGTAAATCGCTTGAATCCGTCTCACATTTCTCCAATATATTAACGCGTTCGATAAGCTGCTTGTTTACTTCAAATATTTCTTTTACATCTTCGTTGATGGCACCCTGCCACCGCATAAGCTGTCCATACGATATACTATGTTTCTCCTCGTCGACCACGGTTTCGCGTAGTTGAATTAAAAAAGCCTCAGCTCGCCTACCATGAGCCATTTCGCCTTAAAACCCGAGTGGTCGAACGAGAAAGAAAATCACTACGTGTGTTATATTAACCCAATGTAACAGCAAGGTATAGGATAAACCTACCAATCTGGGATGTACGAGAGTTGTCGACGTGTACGTAAGTATCAACGGAATGTAAACAACACGCGAGGCCGACGGAAAATCAACATACACGTCCTTGTAAATAGAGTTCACGGGTCGTATAGTGTATTGTCGATATCTCAAGAATGACGTACAAGACAAACGACCTTAAATTTGACCGTTAAGAGGTTTATATACAATATCACATATGCTTTACAACGAAAACGCTGGCGTGGTTCTCGGAACAAGCCGCTTGTTTTGCCCGTGATATTCAACGTTATATCGTTTATTCAGTTACGCTACGCTTATCTCTTTTTAATACCGAAATCTCTGTTTTAGACTATCCAATATAATGCCTTAACAAAACGCCATTAGGTATTACTTTTGAATTTTTCGAAAACACGCTACTCCCGATCAACCCTCTCCCTTACAGACTGTGTCCCTATTCGGGCGCCAAAAAATCATATGTGACGTTCCCTTTTGCGTCACGATGTTCTTTAAGAACGAATAAAACAAATAATGTGGGACTTTGCCTGGAAGGAAGAGTCGAGATGATGAAGGAGAAAAATGTCTCTACGTGCGCGTGATGAAGCGATGTGTGTCGTAATTTTGAATCGTCTACGAGCTAAAAAAAACACTAGCACACACTAAGCGGATATCCTTCTCCTCGGCCGAATGGAACACTGAATGATTTGGGAGGATAAAGGATGAGGAACGGGCACTCGTCACTGTGGCTAAGCCATAGATCGAGGAGGCCCGGAACGATATGAAATTCCCGTCCTCGTACTTACGACCTTGGCGTTATTGCAAAACTGGAACCAGCGAGAGAGAGGGCTCCACCGCCATCCGATGCTTTCCAAGACGTTCGACGAAAGCTGAAATGATACTTGCATGCAAAGACGCCAAATTCAAAGAAACAAGCGAGGCGGAATTTCGTTTAAGTACCAAGGCTTTAATGAAGCAAACTTAACAATACATATCTTTCTATAATGCATACAAATTATTACATCAAGCAAAACGTAATATTTAAATAAAGGCGTACAAAAATGAGCGAATAGCAAAGAAAGGAAAAGTAAGCGTTTAAGCGATAACCAATATGAGCTTAAGTCAAAATTATAATATGTTTAAAATAATAACCAACGCGATGCATTGAAGCAAATCATAGCGGTGCTTTTAAGCTACTCTAAATCAAGCATTGAAGCTAAGTGCCTTGGTGCATTGAAGGGTGACACGAATGTATGGCGGATTCCCCGTTGGCACCAGAAAGATCAAGTGTCTCGATCAAGCCAGTACCATCGGAAGAATGCCTACCGTCATGTGCTCGCCGTGCCTGGATGGTGCTGTCAGATCGCTTGCGGTAGGCGCTGCCGAAACCCATTTCCTATGCGCCGATTGGTAACTTGCGGTGATGGGCCATGTATTGAAGCCCGAAAGCATTGCGCTGCGCGCGGCGATCTACCTGCTCTCCGCCCTACGTGCACCTATTTAAAACACAATTAGTAGCAAGCACAGCGTTAGCTATCAACATAAAATGAGAACAAAAAATATTTCTACCTATAAACACAAGATATAATAAAGACCACCAATCACACATCGCTTCACCCATTATTAAGAATAAATTAATTAATTAATTCAAATTCGAGAGGCTAGTCGGTTACATTAGCCCCCTTGATGAAAATGAGTTTTTAAACTAAATACACAAATTTTCATCTAAAGAAGAAAAAACAAAAAAGAAAAAGAGCTTTAAACGTTGAATTCCGCACCTTATCGTTAATAATTCAACCATGCCTAAACTGCCACGTACATCGCGTAACTGGACCAAGTGTATGATCGCAACTCAAAAATTTACTAGATCGAGATTTGCGTTAATCAACGAACAATACGAAAATAAGGGAGACAGTTATTGTACCCATCGTTTGAATAACTTCAAGCCACTGCTGGAAATCGTCCACATCCAAGTCGAAAATGTCGTCGAGATTTGCCTGCACAGCCGATGTGGAGTACTCGTGCAACAAGCCGAACCGGTCATTCGTTGTATCATCATTTCCTTCCTCTTCAGAAATTACTTGTTGCAACGAGGCGAGCTCGACCTCGAACCCCGAAGGAATCGTGGCTTTCTTCTTTATAATCATCCCCAGAGGCAAGTTCGGATAACGCTCCAAAGCTGGACGTGTGTCTTGAGCCACTGGCGATGACGAAACGGAATTTCCTTGCGCTCGGTCTCCCATCGTACCGACAACCTCGGTACATGCACTTCGTCCTACACTTATGGTTTTAGGCCCTCCAGCAGGCGTATTAACCGCTGAATTTTTCGTTAACTTCACCATTTTCAGGCGACGCTTACCACTTGGTGTTATCATTGGAACGTATTTACAGCGCCCCGTAGGCACTCGTTCCGAGGTGAAAATTTCGCCAAGGAAGAATCCCGTACTATTTGCTGCAAGCATCTGCGGATTTACCCACAGCTGTACGTCGCGGCATTGTACAAGACTCCGGATAGACGAGCTTTCCATTGTAGCCGAAACACAACTAAAGGCAATTTATTATAAGGACGCTACATTAAAGGCTGTTCACGCAACTACTTGATCGAATTACGCAATGTTTACAAAATACGAGCTAAACATAATATGGTTTCAACTGTGTTAAATGAAACTTTCCGCGAGTTTTGTTTTGTCGCTCGTCGTATAACTGGTAGGTATCGCCAAAAACACCAACGACCTTGTAAGGCCTTTCATGTATAGCGAAAAACTTGGACAAGTACTTGTTCTCGGCATTGGATACGTTGAGCGCCTTCAACAACACAGAATCATTTATTTTAAACGTGAAATGCCGACGCTTGGCATTTTTCTTTTCCGCTCGCCGCTTTAGCATCCGATGCATATAATCACGAGCTAACATTAATTTTCCTTCTTTCGGAAGCGTCTGTAGCGCGGGAGTATTTAAATATCTCTCCCATAGGCGCTCGGGTTTTTTATTCAAAAATAACTCTGTGGGCGTAAACCGAGTGGATTCGTGAATTACATCATTCATCAAGGAACAGATTAATTCGAGGTGGTCGTACCAGGCAGCATGATTATTCGACAATAGAAAGCGAAAAAAACGCGCTAATTCACGATGAACGCGCTCCACTGGATTCGACAGCGGATGACGTATGGACGAAAAAATGAGGGAAATTTCTAGATTGTTTAATTTGTGGAGCCATTTTTTCGAACTAAACTGCGTGCCATGGTCGTTTATGATTTTCATCGGTTTGCCATATTTTGGAATATAATCGCGAACAATACATCGAATTACCGCGTCTGTGGTAGCCTTTCGCAATGGATATAAAACAACGAATTTTGAGAACACTACTACTGTCGACAGAATGTATTTATAACCGTATTTCGCGGTAGGTAGAGGGCCAAAAAAATCGATCGACAAAAGTTCATTTGGCCTTTCTATCAGTATCGGCCGATATTGTTCGTTAAATTTCTGTGTGATAGTTTTGTTCACCTGACAATGGTGGCAGCGCTTAATCGTGTCATACACACACCTTTTCAATCCAGGAGAAAAAAACTGTTCTCGTAATAATTTAAGTGTTTTAAACGAGCCGATATGCGCATATAAGGAATGGATCTCTTCAATCAGTAAATTTAATTTGATTTTTGGTATGACAAACTTCAACTTTTCTCTTTCCTTTTTGTACAATATGTCGCCCTCGTATGCGAAACGCTTACACAGACGATTTTCCTTGTTTTTTAACGATTCTATAATATGAACAATCTCATCGTCTTGCCGCTGCCATCCCCGTAACTCTTTAAATAAGTCGATTAGTTCGTCGGAAGGTTTGTGAGCCAACAATATGTTAATTTGTAAGTCGGATTCACCCCCTGCGGGCGGATATTGCACCCTACTCAAAAAATCCGCGCTAGCGTTCTTCTTTCCTTCTATATAAGTAATGTCCAGGTTATAACATTGCAACGCCAGCTGCCACCTCAGCAGGCGTGAATTGCCGAAGCGACAAGTATTGAGGAAGGATAGCGCCTGGTGATCCGTTGGTGCGTGTATCTTCACCGCCCCCCGTAGGTACGTGTGTAGCTTATCAAGCGCCCAGACCAAGGCCAATAATTCCTTCTCTGTAGTGAAATAGTTCAATTCACTCGCGCGTAACGTCCGACTTATGAAAGTGATTATCGCTTCCTCGCCTTGATCGTTTTTCTGCGATAACACAGCCGCTATCGCATAGTCGCTCGCATCGGTCGTCAAGATGTAAGGCCGTTGGATATCGGGAAATTTTAGAATGACGTTCTCATCAAATAAATCCTTAATTTTCTCAAATGCTTCTTGTTGATCCGTCCCCCACACGAAAGCTTCTTTCTTTCGTAGCAGCTTGTTCAGAGGTAACGTATACAGCGAGTAATTTTTCACGAACTTAGTGTAGAAATTTACAAAACCTAGGAACGATTGCAACATGGTGACATTTTTAGGTACCGGAAAGTTCTTTATCGTCGCTATTTTTTCAGGCTGCGGTTTCAACCCTTCAGCGGATAATCTATGGCCTAAAAAATCTATTTCTCGCCGCATGATATTTGACTTACAAAAATGAACCCTTAAATTGTGCTTCAAACAGCGCTCGAAAACCATATCTAAATGACGCAAATGCTCTTCGAAGGTCGGGGAAAATACAGCCAAATCGTCTACGAATTGTAAGACAAAAGCCTCGAGCCCGAACAGCACCTCACTAAGCGCCCTTAGTAAAGCAGCCCCCGACGTTTTAATGCCGAAAGCGACCACGTTGAATTCATACACGTGATTGTCGAGCTTGAACGCCGTGTACTGTTTGGATTCTTCGGATAAGGGGATCTGAAAATAGGAACTCGTCAAATCCAAGGTAGAGATGAAATTTGCGTGCCGGCATCGTGGAAATAGCT